AGCGTCAGTTATAATGTGCCCGTTTAAACCGATAGTACAGTCAAATGATTCATTTTGTAGTTGCATATGCGTTCCCATCCTTGCCTCCAATTATACTACGTGATCTCCCTTGCTCTTATATCCTCCAATATCTCTCCTTATTTTCCCGCGTTATTAATATGCACGTATACTTCGCCTATATAAGACATCAAATCTTCGATCATTCATTCATTCATTCATTCGTTCTTTTTCCTTTGGGTTTATGAGTTTGGTTTATTTCTGCGCTTATTTCATGTGCTAATATTGCGTTTTTCTTTTTATTGCTATGGGTTTAATTACCCAAGTTTGAGTGGGTTTCACTCGCAATAAAGTACAATTCAAACGCGTGTCTTCACATCGTTCTTCTGCTTCAACCAACCACATTGGAATAGTTACTCAACCCTTATTTTATAATCAATCCCTCTACTGAATACCTCATAAGAATCTATTAGAATAAAGCTAATAAAAACTTTCACGATACAAAGAGGAAAAAATTTGAAATATAACGTACCTCATATCACATCTGGTACAATTAGAAATCAACCATCTCATGGATATGCTTTTCAGAATAAAATTCCCAAAATCGTGAATTCTGTTCACTTTTCGAATTCTTTGCAAAATATAACAGTATGTTCTGACCCTTTTAATGCATTTGCACTTTCTATCATCTTTTCTGAATTCATCAACTGAGTTTAATGTTGAGCATAACACCCTATACATTTCACAAATTCTAAACAAATTCCTATTTAGTTTTAACTTCACTATGAGTTTCAGGTCTATCAACTCCGGTTCTTTCTTTGTTTTCATCATTTGGATCATTGTCTTTATCAGCAGTTATAGGCTTTCTTTAAAGTTCCAAAAAAAAGATCTACTGAATGAGCAAAAAAAGCGAAGAGGCAAAAGAAAGTAAAAGCCATCAGAATGAGAGGAATAATTTATTTATGAATTCTTCGATTAAAACATTTACAATATCAAATATCTTTATATCGAAAAAGTATAACTTGCTCAAAAAAACATAATTTGCCTAGATAGCAGTATAATGCTAATGATTTTTGCCATTAAAATAAATATAAATATAAATGATTGTTCAATGATGATGTGAAATGTTATGATTCATTAAATGATTTTTAAGAAAACAACTTGGGAATATGAGGTTTACAAAATACAAAAGAGAAAATAACTATCATCGAGTGTTCAATCCTAATGATTTTAGTAAACTTTTCGTTGTGCAATGCTTTTGTACGATACTTTTATCCAGAGTGACACCACGTACATATTGAGGAGGTGTATTGTGATAGATATCACAATAAAGCGATTCGAGTGGAGGTGGAGGTTCAGTCCGAGCAATATTTACGGCTTCATCAATCTGAAACAACAACGATACAAATCTTCAAATTACTACTACACTTGCGGTAAGTTTAATTGTTCATTGCCAATTTCGACATTTTTCCTACTTTTAATTTTGTACTAAAGAAAAAACTCGCTCATCTCAGCGATAACAAGTTTTCATCGTTACTTCACATTTAAATCATCAACCGCGAAAAACAGATTAGATGCAACATTTTGATAGGTAGCATAGAGATTTGTTTTTTCTAAGAAAAATAGCGCATAGCAACATGCAAAAAACTATAAAATAGTTTTTTTCTAGTTCTGTTAATGATAGGTAAATTTTCAAAGACTTGAAAAAGACAAATTTTTATCAAAAAATATGTGATTCAGTTTTTCAAATATGAAAAGCTAAAAACAACCTCTTTCCTGACGTCTTTATCGATTTCTTTCAATTCTTCCTCAGAAACCAATCCAGCAGCAATAACCCTATCTCTAAAACCTGTGATTGGGTCGCGAGATTTGCGTATTTGCTGTACCTCATCTCGAGTACGATAACTGAAAATCATGTGCATAAATGGAAGTTAGCCATTTATTTTTTCCTTTTTGTTTCTTCTTTAGAACATTTCCGAAATATGCTAACCTCGTTCCCGGATCGGACATAGAATGGCCAGAATACCGATAGGTAGCAAATTCTAGCATAAGAGGACCCTTTCCAGCATTGCAATATTCTTTTGACCATCGAATTGTTTCTCGAACGGCAAGAACATCCATACCATCAGCCTAAAATTATTTCAAAATACAGTTACTTATCTGAACTGCTATTGCAGATTAACTTCCTGTAACAATTATTATTAAACCTACCCAAACACCTGGTATATAATCACCACGTGTATAGTAATCTGTTACAGCAGATGAACGATCAACCGGTGTACCCATACCATACCCGTTATTTTCGCAGATAAAAATGCATGGTAAATCCCATAACGCACACATATTAATGACTAAAAAAACATCTTTGTGATTATTTCATTTTTGTTTAAACAATTTTAATAATTCCACTTGTCTGTAGCAGTTCCAACTTCTGCCAAAGGAACCTTCCTTTATTTTATAAATAGAGAATTCTACCAATTAGCTGATAATAGTACATTAATGGAATGATTACACGATACAAAACACAACAGTGAATTATTAAGGACTACGAAAAGAGATTAAACCTTCATATAATTGTCCTTGGTTAGCTGCACCATCACCAAACAAAGTATATGCAACATTCTTTTTCTTATTATATTTAAGAGCAAATGCTAGGCCAGCACCAAGTGCTTGTTGTGCTCCAACAATACCATTACCGCCGAAGAAGTTTTTGTTATACATATGCATGGAACCACCTTTTCCATAGACATTACCAGAACGTCGACCTAAAAAATGACAAGTATATTTTTTTAATTTCATTTTAATCTCAATCTATACAGTATAGTCAAAAAAAACCGGTCAAAAAAAGTCAAAGAATTTTTTTTGTACAGTCAAAAAAAAAATTTAGCAAGCTAGAATTTTTTAACTATACGAAATTTTGTGACCATACAAATAACTTCTGTTACTGCTAACCTGTTAATTCCGATAAAATTTCGGCGACATTCGATCCAGTTAAATAAGTCCATGCATGGCAACGATATGATGTGATTACAGCATCTTCACTGTCTTTCGATGCACAAAGTCCAACTGCTATTGCTTCCTAATGAAGAATTAACATTTGTTTAAATATTTTTTTTAACAAAAATAAATTGAGGAAGAAAAGATAAGAGTTGAAATATAAACCGAAAATGATGAGCTAATAATTTGATGGCTGTCATTGGAAAATGTTCGAAAATTAATTCAATTTAATTCAAGTACAGATTTTGACAATCGCACGAAGAGGTCAAGAAATACTAAGACTATAGCTATAACCAATATATAATTTATCACCTGTCCTGCATATAAATGGCAGAAACCACGGACAAATCTCTCCTTATAGAGATTTCCAGCTGCTGTTTCCATTCGCCTAACTACCTGCAATACATTGCTCCCGAAAAAATTAGTTAATTTTTGTGAAATTAATAGATAAAAATTGAATAAGATCTAAATCTATGTAAGATAGATGGAAGCAGAGGTAATATACATATGTCAACAAAACCAACCATCATTTTACGATAGTAATCTAAAGCATCATCTCTTGTAATAGAAACATTCGTTGATGGACCAGATTCTAATCGATGTAATTTGTATGGTTTCGTTTGGAAAGATGCTTCATTGCTAGCCAAACGAATTGAAAATGCTAGCAACGATTGTTGTTGTATGGGAACCTGGAAATAATGCAACCTGAACAATGAATGATAGCATCATCTACAAGATATGATTTCTAAATTATTAATATTAAATGAAATAAATCGTTGAAGTATTTTCCTTCCTCATTTTTAAAATTTACATAGGAGTGAAAAGGAAAAAGAAGTTTACTTATCATTTCTTACCTTAGATGCTTTGATTATATTTGAAGTAACGTTAATCATATTTGGCACTGTAAAAAGTTCAGAATGTATGACAAAATTATTATTATTATTATACAAATAAGCGTACGGTTCCTATGTCTGTGATCGATTTATTCAGATTATTTAAAGATTACGTAAACTTAATAATGCGATCATTCGATTGAGCAACAAATATCATATAACATATAATAATCAATCAATAGAAAATGATGCAAGAAAAAGTGTAAAGAAAGAATGCATCTAAAATGAAAGAATGAATAATGAGAGTGATAAGCCAAACTATTGAATTTATCATATATCACATCCTACAAACATTAAATAATCTTTTTGATAACAAATATTTTGTTGCCATGTTTGCATCTGAAACGGAGAATTTTGCTTTTTGAATAATTGTTTACGGAAAAAAGAGCAGCTGTCCAACGATCAATTTTGAGGAAGTGATAGAAAACTAAAAAACATACGGAGAGCAAAAATGGAATCATTGAATGAGGACGAAAGAAAAAAAATAATGGAAAAATGAGCAAGAATAAAATTTTCGGATATTCACAAGTGTAATATTTTCAATTATATCTAATATCCTTCATTTTGTAATTGAAAAAATAAAAAAGTGCTTAATTCTTTTAAGGAAGATTTGAAGATAAGTTTGAATTTTGCAAATATGGAAGCAACTGTTACGCAGTGTTTTTTTTTTGTCATTTAAAGGGAAGGGAAAAGATGAACAGGGATGATGATATGTATAGCAATAAAGTACCATCTATAAAATGCATTATGACGATTACCGATAATTCTTTTTTTTTAAAATTTAAATTATATTGTTGGAATTGATGAAATATTGTTTTCCTTCCTTTATTTTTTTTTCCAAGAGCAAGTGTACATGATTATAGGAAAGCGCGCAGGTCGCAAATTTGGGATATAGTGAATTCGTTGATATTTAAGATTTGATGATTTCGAGGTGATTTTTTGTTAAGCTACAAATTCATAATTTTATATTCTTAGTTCCATTTTATTTGTGCATAGGTAAAATTATTACAGTAGGATAATACTGAAAAATGTAGAAATGTTTTTCGTTTTCTCTATCTAATATCTGCACGAAAACATTCAATGGAAATGTTTTAGTTTCAAATGCAGCAAAAAATGATAACAGTGATAATCCGATGGCCAAAATTGGCTTATTTTGCGTATACTATAATTTCTATTCAGAACAGTTAAAAAAAAATGAATGATCCATCAAACTGGAACCGCTTTTTGTTAATTGAGACATTCCAAGGATTTTTTATTTAAAAAATGGATATTTTTCATTTTAAGTCCTATCATTATTCCTCTATGTGTTAATATGATCTGCACATAAGATATGCATATATGCAAAGTTTTTTTTTTCTAGAAGCAACTAACACTTTGCAAATTTAAAAACAAGATTCATTTTCTTACAAGCAACTAACACTTTGCAAATTTAAAAGTAACATTCAAACGACTGCACAAAAAAAGGATAAAATATTAATTCAATTTGTCTATCCATCAAGGTTAGTAGTAATTTACGGCACGTTATGATAAATATATTAGTTGGAATTGTAATGTCGGCTATGTGTTTTATCAACATTTCAATTCTATATTCGAAGAAGCAATAAAGTGAAGAATTCGAATTGTGAGAATATGCAGCAACTCTTGTTAGTTTTTTAAATCCCATTAATTTTCAAATGGATTTTTTCATAACATTCACCACAATATTTGGAAGGAAGAAGAAAGGAGTGCTATAAGTATCAATGAAGAAATTTATTGTTTATCAAAGTGAGAAGTATCCGTAAGCACTGATAGTAAGCATTTAATACGAATTCATTTGCTGAAACAAATATTAGGTTTTTGATAGATGGTGAAAGAAAAAGGGAATTTTATTGATGGATTTCGGGGAAGCTCGAATGTGTCAAAACCGGAAAGAACATTTTCACACTGAACAAGGAAAACAAATGGCATATTATTTGTGACATCTGTATCCTTTCATTTAACATTATTTACAATAGGATAAATTATGCAATGAAAGCGAACAAAAAAAAAAAACACGAAATTTTCACTTATCAGTCAACTAATCAATAAAGCTAGAAAATAACATTTCGTGATATCTAATCTGTTATGAGTGAAAAAAAGTGAAACTGAAATGAAAATTAAAATGAATTAAATCGAATTAAATCGACAATAAATGTGAAAAGATATTACATAAATGGATAATGACAAACATAAATTGATCCAAATGGATGAGTACCTTCCGCACTACACTGTTACACTGTTGTTGTCATATTTTCTCTAGCAATCAAAGATCTAACTGCAAATGTGGGAGTCGATTCGGGTCGATGAGCATGAATAGAGAGCATCTCTCTCTCTCTCTCTCTTTCTCTCTCTCTCTCTCTCTTTCTCTCTCTTTCTCTCTCTCTCTCTTTTTCTCTCTCTCTTTTCTCTCTCTCTCTTTTCTCTCTCTCTTTTCTCTCTCTCTTTTTCTCTCTCTCTTTTTCTCTCTCTCTTTTTCTCTCTCTCTTTTGCTTATATCCATAAATTCATTCATCACTGCACTTTTTAGCTAAATGAAACATCGAATTGTGAAGAAGCAAAATAGTTTTTATGACATATGAAATGATAATAAATAGTATTATTGAAATATATCGAGGCTTATTAGGATTACAATCCCGATTTGCCCAAATTGTTAGGAAATCTCGAATATTTCTATTATTCATTGAAAATAATTATAGCGGAAAAGATGAAAGAATTGCATATGGCAAAAAAAAAAACGGCATATGAGAAGAATGAACGAATCATTTTGGAAAAATGCAAACCCAATTTATGTGCTTACGCAGTATTATGGAAATTTTGGTGATGAAACTAACTTATAGAATAGGATTTGTTCATTTTGTGTAATTTTCAATTTTCTACACCGAGAAAATAAGTTTAAAAAAAAATAAAATTGGATTTGTTGTAGTGAGAGTAAAATTGTTTGAAACAGTTTTTAGCAGTTAATTGATGTTAATTTTTTTTTTTTTTTGAAGGGAAAATGTGTTAGAGCAAAGAATATTATTTCAGCTATGAACTTGGTTTGCTTTGGTAACGATGATTTAAGCAAAAAAATGGTGACATGTTAGGTGACATATTAAGTTTTTTTTTTTTTTTTTAGCTGACATTAGGTGGCATATATAACATATAAATGTGACATATTAAGTTTATTTAGAAAGAAATACGTATTCGATATGCAGATAAGATACGGAATATCTTGAATGATTGGACATTTTAATTTGCATAAATTTGCTACCTTTTCATACGATATGAAATCTGATTGTGATTTCTTTCGGTGTTGAAATTTGCACTCAAATTTCACTTGAAATATTTTGATGAAATTGATCATTGCACTGACGAATATTATTCAACAATGAAAAGAAATTGCAACAATTATTATTGATTCCTAGCAATTGTGAACTTTGAAAGGTTGAGTTGCATCGGTTCCTAGCTAGGAATATAAGTACTCCAGAAATGATTATTATTTCAATTAAATTTATTAAAAACAATCTACATTGATTGACATCTGAAATAGACATGCTACTCTCCATCCTTTAAGGTTTCAAATTAAAACTGAAGTATCAAATTAATTTACTAACTGAACACAAAAATGCTACTACTTTGAGTTCGGTCGAATTATAAAGATACTTCATAATCACGGGAATTATAAAGATACTTCATAATCACGGATTGCAAAATAGTAAGCTTTTTAATTAAAAAAGATTTAAATAATTCATATTAAATGTTTCTACATATGCATTCGCATACACAGGAACATATTTTTTTTAGCTATTGAATAGGAGAAGTTTCCAGTTAAACAAAGAATATCTGTAAAGTATTTCAATCAAAAATTGTCATGGCAGTAGTCAGGATGTTCGGGAGTTCTACACGTTATTGGAATTATAAAATATGCCCGTAACTTCTTAATCTTATTGATCTGTTTTTAATAAAATTTCATTTGTTTTGAGAAACATTATATCCTCCAACTTTAGGATGACTTGTTTATTTCTTTCTATAACTTGTTGATTATTCCATCTATCCGCAACACCGCTATTTCTTGTAATATGATCTGCGAAAAAAAAACTGAGTTCATCAAAAAACTGAATTCTTGATTCATAATACATTCCGAATCCAAATTATCTTTAAAAAAAATGTACTTTAAAAAGATGCAAATTCATAATACGGCATAGAATTCATAATATGACAAATGGAGACACTATTTCATGACAGTATAAGATTATCCTGAAGAAGTACAGGTAATCTGGTAAGACCGATAGGATCAATTCTTCACCTGTTAATAATAGAAATTTCGGAATGAGGCAGTTGATTCATCGTTAAAAACGGATCATGAACTTGTAAAGCAGATAAAGTTGCATCTGAACATTCATTTTTCATTATAAAAACATTACAGAAGAATTTGTGCGTATGACGAAGTTTAATTAAAAATAAATATAGTTGAAAATCTATTTTAAACATGTTTATTTGTTCATATAAAGCAAATCCTGAGATTTTTAGCAGTACTCGAAATACTATCCGTCTTGTTTCTTCATTATCCGTATTTAACAAAGGTATTGTTACAAAACCGCGAAAAAATCAAATCTAACAAAATAATGATAGCAAGAAAGAACAATCATTGAAAAATGATCGAATGTCTTAGAAAAATGCGAATCTCCGAGAACCCTGATTTCCGTCGTTTGCTTTTTCGAAAAAGAGCTATACTTTGTGATTAAAATCATTTTACACCAAAATTGAAGTGAGAGAAATAGCTTTAAATCGAACACTATAAAACCAAAAAACAAGTTTTATAGCAGACGATGATAAGATCATTCGTCTTTACAACTGCATTATGACTTTTAGCTGATCTCTACCAGTTCAACTCTTCTACATTACTTCCTGGTAATCTCATAACGTAATTGTAGTCCTAATAAATCTGATAAAGAACAAATCAAAGTGGAGGAAATTATCATACTATAACGCAGCCAAATTCAAGAGTATACAGTGCATCTCAAAAATGTATCAACAAATTTAGGAAGAAACTTTTGAAACTCCAAAACACTAACAGAAACACAAATTGAAAGCACTTCTCTACTGTACATTGCTGTCTGTTAATATGTTGTTGAGATTTTAAGTTTAAACCTTTTCATTTTGATTTTGATGCCAGCTTTTCCTTTATCCATGCTCGAATTTTTGTTTTTAAAGCAACATCTAGAATTAGAAGAATTCATATCCTCAGAATTAAATAATAAAGACAAAGTTCATCACAACTTTCACTTACCTTAAAAAATCTATACTGGGTATAGTTTAGTTTAGTTTTTTTTTTTTTTTTAGGTGAACTGAGTACATGAAATAAATAAAACATATGGTTCTTAATACAAAAGATATGAATTACTAATTTAAAAGATGTTCAATTATCGAAGATCTATCTCCTCTCAATCTTAATAATCACATACATTTTTCGAGATAATTAAGAAAACTCAAATAGCAAAAAAAAAAATGAGAGATGAATATTACCAGATACAAGCTGAGTTTCGCTTAGAGGCTGTCGAGTAAATGGATCCGTTTGAGAACTGAGCAAATGACGCATGATATGTTTCCGATCCATTTTATGTCCCGATGGAAGAATTACAGGATCAGTCATCAGTGTGTTCATTACTGGATCTGCAATTAGAGTATATATACGTTCAAATTTTAGAAAATTAATTTCTATATCTCAAAACATTAAAAAAAAAATTAAACTGACAAAGCTGCACTAATGCAAGGAAAACATGTACAAAAGATCTGAAATAGCCTAAAAATGCACACCACGGATTGCAACAGCTTAAGGATCATTGTGCCGACGTCTAATGAATAGCAGTATAAAAAAAAAATTGATCTGCCATAATTTGTAGAGCAAAATTACCTCTGAAATCATCCGGAACATCATCTCCGAAATCTTCTTCATTCTGGGCTTTCTGCTTCCAAATTCGCTCCGTTATATCAGCAAGATTTTTCAAGAGTTCAATTTCATTTATAGGTACAATGTTATTAGCAGTTAATCGTGAAAGCACCATTGAGAATACATCAGGCGAATACGAACGCTGTAAATGCAAAAACAAAGAAAATGAACATCTTTATAAACCTAATATTTTTATATTATTTACTCATTATAAATGATATGAAAATGAATAGGAGTTTTTACTCATATAAATGAGTAATCATATAAAATGAAAATGAACAGGTAGAAACCATAATCCTCTTTCAGATCTGCAATTTGCTTTAATAAAATTGTAAATTAACAGCACAAACAAATGGATTATCTGTAGTGTTCCATAAACCTTACCATCCCTTAATAGAACAATCACTTGTTCCGAATAATCTTAACTTATTTTATGAGAAAGAAATTTTCAAAGCATAAAACAGGTGAAGTGAATAATGAAAAAAATGCTTCATTCGAATTCAAGAATCACCTCATCATTAGCAATGCATTCTGCAAATTTCTCTGAGGATAAATTCAAGTACACATTTACTATTTGTTGCAGTAAAGCTCGTGGCTCCCACATAAACCGACGTACTGCGTCACGTACTTTCAGTTCTGTACACTTTGGACCACATAATTGTGACACGTTGTAATCCAACATAGAAGCCAATCGTTCACCGAGCAACTAAAGCTTTATTGAAAGGGAAAACAAACTCATAAGATCTTCAGGACTTTGAATCTCAACGGTCTAAATGAGTGCAAGCATGCCAAAATCCTAATCAAAGAACAATTACTGAAATTTTGGAATTAAGAATCAAAAGATATAAAACAGCTGCATAATGATTTATCAACAACATCTTCCTTTACACAGTTCAAATAATCAAATTTACGCTTCCTAAAATTAGCAACAAATATATTTTAAAATCATACTGGCTCATAGAACGGTTCAGGTGCATCAGCAGTTAAATATGTGAAAAGATCCAATGTGTCACGTCCAAGTATTAACCAGTTCCGTACACCTCGCTTTGCTTCCAATAATGCATCTTCTTTCATTTGACGTTCTTCATCCCCCAGATTAGACCATTCATTACTTTCCTTTAGTGTTTCAATATCGTGTATTTTTTTCAGTGCAAGCAATGATTCATCCAATAAATAGGTTGCATCATTAATAACCATATTGACGAAACGAATGAAATCAGGTGAGCATTCTCTAAAATACAATAAATACATCCGATGTGCTGAGCAGACCTTCCATAGTTAACGAATATCTTTTGATTGCAGTAGAGCACGGATTTGGAAAAAATATTATTATGGAAAATTTCCCAGACCATAATGTTATGACTTTATTTCACAAAGAATTTCAGTTTAAATCAGAAAAGTTTTTTTTTAATTCTACTGAACTAAATCTTCAAGATTACTATTTAGCAAATTTTTACAATAAAAGATGGAAAAATCGACCTTGCATAGGCAGTAATATTACTTCTGTAGATTGTACTTTCCCAAAGAGAGCGAAATATCACTTGAATCGATCGTCTGATATTAAATTTGTCGTAAAATTCCGTGCTTGCTCCTGTTGACTCCACATCTAAGGTCATTTGAAATTAAATGGAATAAAACTAAAAAAAAAATTAGAAAAATTGAGAGCTCTATAATACCTGCATAGAATTTGACAAGACTTGGAAAGAGTCGATTAATGGCCAATGGAGAATTGATAACAGAAAGATGGAAGTGATACGCAGCAGGTAAAATTGCAGGACAGACCATAAATAGAACTTCCACTATCTGAAATTTGCTTTCGTTTTATATCCCAATTGCTAAGATTATTCAAATTTTAGATGAAATATAATTGAGTGAGATGCAATGTACACTACATCGTACTGCCTAATCACGGTTCTACTCAACTTTAATATGCATATATATCATAATTTAGAAAAACTGAAAAATCATTTTCTTGTAAATTTTGTTTAGTTATTAATATCCCAATTATAATCTTGCATTTAATGATTCACTTCTTCAAGAATATAAATCTGAATTTTTATTCAATAAAAGTAAAAGATACTAAACAATAAAAGAAGATATTATTATTACTAAACCAGTCTTCTACCCTTTCTTCATAATATTGTATAAATTGAAGAGGTATAAACCTTTGCTGCCAGAAATTTATTATTAAAATAATGGGTGCTGCAAATAAATACAAGTAGCTGTTGAGGTAAGTCCAGTCGACTTTCCAGAAGTATAATCGGATTATTCCTGCAATATTAATCAGGACATTATATAGAGCAGTATCTTCTCCCTCATGCATAAATTCTGCGAAATAAATGATTTCATCTAGTCGAAAACTAATAAGCTGGATGTATGGTCGATTCAAAGATAACGTCACTAACTTCAGCAGAAAAACAATGAAGTCAAGAGAGTTTTCCAAAAAGAACTCCGGCATAGCTCCAAACAAATCTGGTGCTACGGGAGGAAGTAAACCATCGTTAAGGCTGAAAAAAAAGATAGTAGTACGAAAATTCTGCCATTTCAGCCTCTAAATTAAGTAATATAGATTACAAGAGAACTGAAAGAAAGAGCAAAAAAATTTATATATATTATCAAAAACTTTAGTAATTTCGGCTAACTAACAAATTAGGATTAATAATATTGATGATGAACGTAAGCTGACGGCTACAAAATTCCAAAGCTCGGTGGAGAAACACCGGATCGTATAGAGCCGCTTCTAAACACATAATGCTCCGAATCAGTCTCTAAAAAATAACTTCGCAATTTTAAACTTGGGGCCTCGAAATTTCAAACTTGAAGTTGTTCCTGAGACTTATGCATTTTTTGAATTTATATTGAATATGATAATGTGAAGAAACCTAAGGTCCTGGCTGATCTTAAAAGCTGAGTTAAGCAAAAAGAAAATCGATTAATTAATTAATACATGCAAAGTATCAGCCTAGTTGCTATCTACTTTGAATCTTTTTCATTGTTGCTATTTAAGTTTTCAAATATGAAAACCTGTCAAGTACCGTACCACACAAAATTTTAATTCGAATTTAAAAAATGAAACGTACTGTACGAAAAATATTGGCGCGCTCCAGTTTTGCTTCAATCATCGCTTTTTCTCTTATTTGTAATGCCAATAATCTCCGTAAATGTGCTTTAAGTTCAGTCAAACCAAGTTCAATTTCATGCAAATTCCTCTTCAAATACTTTAGTTGCCCAATCGCAGATGATAGTGATAGCTGTTGAGCTTGTACCGTTAGGAAGAAACATTCGGTGGGGAATTTGATTTCAAAATTAGTATCTAAAAATAATGAAGAAATTTTCTTCTAAAAATAACTAATTCATAATTTCCATCAGTATAGCCTGTAGTGGCCATTAGTACTTTAAAATAAGACATATGTGTCAGTGTTAATGCAACACAGTCTTTCAATAAAAATTATGTATAATCAGAGCTAGAAAACTAAAGCATTCGTACGCATATTCAATAGAAAGTTTTGTGAATAGTTGTAAATACTTTGAACCATTGGATTTTCTTACTAGAACGGAATTGGAAATAAGATACCTATCGTTTTTGCAAAGGCTTTTGCTTGTTCCAAGTCCATTTTCAATCGTGTTTCATCCGAAAAATCAATTCTGCATTTTGGATGGAATATGTAATTAGTGTTGACCTGAAAATCAGGAGAAATAATAGATGTAGAATACGAAGAAATCATAAGTTTACAATTAGAAAGAGCAAAAATACCTTATCAAATGTTACTTTCTCAGCCAAACTCAGCATTACATCAAAGAAATTCAACATGAAACCATCTGATGACAACTTCGAGTTATCCGGCTAAAACATGTTAGTACCAAAATTAAATTGAAATGCAAGCTATAAATTGCTTTAGCAGGGATATAAAACAATTAAAAATCATTTGAGAGCCTTGAATGAGCATTTCAAACGAGGCTGAAGTAATAAAATGTGTTTGATTCAGAAACTGATTATAAAATAATTTCATGTTACAAGCAAAATTTACATTCATCTGCCGTCTTTTGATATTGACCGATAACACACGAGTAATGAAATCCAACGTTCTGCTACGGCTCGAAGTATTTACTAACAACTGATGTAATATTTGATGCAAATGGCGCTGAAATAGAATTAGTTTTAAACTATTTCCAAAAGAGCGAGCCCCAAAAATTTGTCCACCAATGTGCACAATTTTTAAGCCTTTCAGTCTCAAGCCTACTTCGCATGACTTTAGGGTATAACGACCCAGGACATTAATCTGTTTTGTAGTATTATTGTTTTAAAATAAAAAAAAAAAAGGATAATATATGACGCATGGTTCGCTCCTGTCATTTTGCTTATTACACTGAAATGGAGTGCTCAGAGTGGGTTCTATAACAAATAATCAAAATGAAAACATTTATAATGTTAAGTTCAGAAAACGTACCCTAACAAGCGTTAAATCATTTTGGTAAATGTTATACAACATCGGTTTCTGGTCATCTTCCGGAAGTTGAGAGCAGTCAAAAAACGGCATATATATAGAAAGCTGAAAGAAAGTAAATGTAAATGATTGACTGATTTATATCAATGAATCCAAAGTTTATTCTTACACTTCCATTATCAGCAGGAGCTGTGCTATATTCAAAGAATGGTCCCAAATAACATAGCCTTGCGAAATCATGACCTTCGAGAACAGTGTGTACTTCTGATATAAAATCTGCCCGTGAAACCAGCTATAATATATAAAAAATCATAATCATTACACTAGAGCTGAAAATATTTAATTTTCAGTAACGGTTGATTTAATTGACCACATTATTTGTCGGATTTAACCAAACTGGTCTGAACTGAAATAAATTAATAAACAGATTTAAAGCACCTTATTTTATCATATATAGAATATATAGGATTCAATGTGGATAAAATGCACTACGGACGTAAGGAACTAACCAAATCTGCAATAGGCCTCCTATTAGGTGAAATTTTGACGCCTACAAGGAATTTCAACAGGGAATATGGATAAACACCCACTTCCCTGTTGCACTTATTCGACATTTGTTGGCAACTCATCGACTTTTGAGCACAATCCAAAATGGGATTAAAAATCTGAAAAAGTTTTTGAAATAAGATGAAATTTATTCCCAAATTCAAACACCCAACATAAGAATTGTTGATGAGCACCTAAGAAGTTAAACAATGTAAAACTATTTTTCTAAATTAACTTTTAAACTTTTAAAAATATATTCTTCAGGCTTCGAAATTATCTAGTTCTTCCAATCGCAAGTTCGGATGTAATGTAATATATGTCCCTATCCATCATACTTTAATACATATTATTATCCATGTGTATGATTTAATATTCGAATATAACGCATAACAGAATATAAATACTTAAGTTTATAAGTCCGCAGTGCTAAGTGAATTAAATTTGAATATATAATGAAATTCCCCAAATATTATATATGTTAGAAGGAAAAACAAACCTCAGCAAGTGTACCGTGATCCGTCATATCTTCATCTGCACAGTAATTTATCAAGTTGTAGGTAAAAGTTTCTGGCATTTGCTGCTGATAAAACATTCGGACAAAGACTGCTATCATTTCTTCTGCTGTAAATCTGCAACAGATTGGAAATTTTCAAATCTTAAATATAAAAGCAACATTTGAATCCGTTATTTGAAGAAAAAAGTTGGTGTAAATCCACATAAATGAACATAATATAAGTGAATAAAAATAAAATAGCTTACTTTTCACCATAAAAGCCACGAAGAAGAAAAGATGTTTGAGCAAAAAGTCTTTTCTGAACGACTGGAATCACGGATCGTTCGTAATCCATCAAAAACTATAATTCAAATTTAATCTTTTAACTCCTGACAGTTACATTTTTTAACTTCTCAGTATCTGTTCTTAGCTGTTGTTTATTTTAACATCTTGGAAATTGGAAATATGTCATTCCTATTAGATATAATCACTTTCGATGAAGATTAGAAGATTATTGCAAAAATAAACCTGATTCTGTCCTTCAGTAGCCAATTTTTCATTTGCTGTGATAAGATAATGCAAAGCTATTTCTGGCAAAGTTAAAGGCAAATCAAACAGCGGTTCGCCAAGTTGTTTTCCCAACATTCTGTCTGTAGTCATGATCTGTATGCTGAAAATTGACAACCATGTCGTTAAGATACATTAGCAATACTTATTCATTCTAATCATTTTTTGGCCCGAATATATGAATACGAATAATATAACAGCACTTACTTGCTTTTTTGTATGTTACATAGTGCTCGCATAAAAATATCATCTATTACGACTGACAAATCAACTGAAAATATATGCTTCTCTGTAATAATGTAAAACTCTTTAAAAAAATTCAGCATTTTAGATGACAAAATCACTGCTCTTTATTCAGCGTTATTGAAGGTAAACATATGCTAAGTATTGGTCAATGCTATATCCTATCATAATGAACACGATTTTTCTATAACATATATTTCTGAGGATACCAGTTAGTTACCGTTTTTGCTTCAATTTCCGTCCTGTTTCTACCTTCTGAAGTTAGTATTAATGTTATTAATCCTATTTTACCATATCAGTAACAATAAAACATACTGTCACTATTAAAAGTTGATGAATCAGTTGATTCTAATAAAGATTTCAAACAAATATTGTTTTCACCGCTGAAAATCCGATTGACAAGATTCCGAAGGCGGTCCAATTTGTAAGCTTCTCCATCCTAAACTGATTGTGTCAGCAAAATGTTATCGTAATCTCAGTACAATTATACTGTATAATACATTTATGAGGAATTAATCAGTGCTTGAGATCTTTTGCTACTTGTGAAATTCCAACGGCAAAAGACTGGTTGCTATTACCATGTAAGGTTTCAATATGACTATAAATTAAGCTGCTTAATCCACAGATATATTTTAAAGCTAATAGTTGTTTCCATTCATTTTATTCCTGCAACTTCGAAATCTTGGCTATAATCAAGATTTAAAGGTGGCTAAGTATTGGAAGCATCTTACGTAGATTGAGTTATATTATTCCATTCAACATGGTTAAATTCAAGTACGTTGCATATGACAGCAATTGATATGCTTGTAAAAAACATAGGCTCCTTATCTCTTACAAAACTTAAAAGTTGCAAAAACCTCATTTGAATTCCCATTCGGCATAATGTTCATGCAGTCTTGACGTAATTTCTTTGCATCTAATTCTTCAAGTTCTGCTGCTGGACTTCGATGTGTCGCTTCTTCCGTCGGCATCAAATGATTTTTACTTTTTAATATAAATTTCTAGTGTATCTGCAAAAAAAAAAGGGAAAATCACTAAATGATGTCGCTTGAAGTTATTATTCATATGCTTAAATCATTTCAAATTAATGGACCAATGAATTTTCATAAAATCATGACAACCAAAATTTCTCAATCTTAAAGTTAAGCTTACTAAAAGCGTAAATTCTGCTTTTATTATAACTTACTAGCTAATTACACATATCAGAAATATAACTTCAAAATAACACTTACGTTATTCCCACGTAACCCAAAATTTGACAAAACATTCAATTCAAGTTACCAGTCGTAGTCAGTACGAATTTTGCTTGGTTCGGACGGCTTATAATGGAGACGTGTTAGAAGTATGTTGCTTTCAGTATACACGTTTTCGTTAGTCATTTCTCGTGCTCTAAGTAAATTCATGAGTATATCTCATGTTCTCGAGAATTCTCATGAATTTATTAAAGCATATGGGAGAAGGATAAATTGACATACATTATCAATTTAGTCGTAAATTTTGTATTTTTCAGGTTAATGTTAGTTCAAGTATTGCAGAAGTAGGATGAATGAGAAGTCGATGGTAAATACCATCCGATTGCTCGAGAATCAAAAGGTTCTTCTAGCAGTATTTCGCTGTTGATTTCAGTAATATAACGTTTGCTTTTGTTTTAGTCAAAAGCTATTAAGATCGATAAGTTGATTTTTGCAAACTTTACCCTTTCCTCTTTGCACTTTATATCTTATCCTTTAAATAAATGACACAAATCTGATATTCCCTTAAATAATTACCTAATTTTGAGTCTGGTTGAGATTGCTTATATGTTTTAACACTATATTGATAATTTTGTTAGATATTGAATCTTTTTTTATTCCATTGTTTTTATTTTTTCTATTTTATTTAACTTAGTTGGAATTAAATTTACTACAAATTTTATCTGTTTATTATATTTTTTATTGCGATTACCATCCTTTTAGTTGTTATTCTCAACCATAGTTTTATCAATGTATTACATTATAATATTGCTAAAAATAATACCTACCACTAGTTGGCTTTGTCTATCCTAAGGAAATTAGCAATCGATTCGGAGCTTTCATATTAAATTTTATTCTATCACAATTTGTTGACTGGACTGATTAAATCTGTTTGGATTAATTAACTAAACTCTCACTAAGAGATAATAATTAATTGTGTTTTCACACATGTTGAAAATTGTTTCCATTTTATTGAAAAACTTATTTGTTTCAGATTGAACGTGAAATAGCGTTTCAAGAAGCTGTGGATGAGAGGAAAAGAGCATTCGAAGTAAGTCTATTAATGATGTTGTTGATATACAATACTTCTTATTACAGATTTATTCATTGTTATTTTAAATGTTAGAATATTTGAGAATGAATAATAATAATATGGGAAGCAAATGATCACGCCCTGGCATATATATCTTACGGTCAGTATCCTAAACTGCTAGCATAAAATAATTATTTATTACAGACTTAATAAGCTCAAAGAAATATCGTCTTTCTAGTGTTGCAGTTTCTAAATATGGTTCAGTGTTTAGCAGAGTTCTTCATGTGCTGTATAATATTTATAAATATATGTTGTTGCTAACACCGACATATGCAAAAAAATGTGACTTTATGGCTTATTCGAAGGAGTGATCCTTTTTTCCTTGTAATTTAGGCTTTTTCGTAATTTAAAAATCACCATTTTTTAGCTTGCTAGATTGCAGTATGCCTATCCTTACAAAGCCGTTGCAAGTGTTACGGTAACATTTATTTCTGGTTTAGCAACCTATCGACATAAAAATTTACTCTATTTGATACCGATTGCAATAGCGCTTCCTTATTTGGCATATGAAACTGATGCCTGCTCGGAACGAAGTACAGCAAGGATCAAAAGTGAATTTTCTTAATCGATTTTATTCTTCAAAATTTTTATTCTTATAACATCATATATAGAAATCGAAAGACTGTTTGAGAATTTCTTACGATTTGAGAGTAGAATAGGTGGAGAAGTAAAGAAAGCTAAACTAATCACTGTACAAATTTATATGAAAGAATGTAATGGAAAATATAGCTGGAAGTTGTTGAATTTCAGTTTATTTCCAGGACGAGCTGATTTACTATACCGAAAAAGATTGGCAGAGCATGAGCCGCATGTTTTGGTAAGTGACGTAAAACATCGTCTGAAAGAATTGCAAGGAAGAAGTGATATGGAGTAGGTCGATATTGTTTGCTGTGCTTAACGTTGAATTGGTTTATATAAAATTAAAATGCTTCTCTAATTATTTATTATTTCTGAAATCATTACTGAAATCTTCAAAATTCTATGAAGAAAACTTAAAGCTTTGGAAAATTGCTCTCTTTTGAGTACTTGATTTACTAAAAACATTTACGATTCTCCATTAACTATATGAAGCTTTCATAAGTTTAGACTGCATCATATCTAATTTATCAAATCCATTTGAACTTGATTTTTTTTTAATCAAAAACAAGGTGGAGAACTCGGAAATGCTGTAAGCGTTGCTTTTCTTTAATCTGTTAGAAAATATATTTATCTGATTTCATCCGAGTTTTTTTGGTTTTTCAAATTCGAATAAAACATTGAACTTTATTTGTCCCATCATTCGTTTCACTAGTTTCTAACTTTATAGAATGATATTTGATCAGTTTAGCTCCTGCTAGTTTAAATTTCTTGTTCAAAAAAAGCTAAATCTTTGGAAGAGAAACCATTGCTCCTCCAGAAAAAGAATTTTTCCATTTTTCCGAAAACCCAACCAATAATGATTTAAAATAAATAATTGAACAGTGAAGCCTCCTTTCAGGTACTGCTGACGCTTAACCGTGTTTAGTATATGCTTTCAAAATTGTCGAGGACGTATATGCTGTATATTTTGATAATTAAGGTATTCTTATACTTTTGTTTTGCAGGAAAAAGAAATTTTTGAGTTGATATTTCGTGTGATTTGCTGAATATTTTTCTCGGTATATTTTTTGACTGTGCTTTGTGAGGTTTCTTATTTATCTATATATATAAAAGGCACTATTAATCCAATTATCTAGTGCCAAATGAGTAAATAAAGGGTTTGAATTTTCAGTAGGAATTTGCGGGTTCTGGAACTATCAAAGGATTGCATTTGTGATATTTTATTTATGTTTTTAATGGGAACATCGTGGTCAAGTAATGTGGAGTTGCAAAATTATTACGATCAACAGGTATGTCTAAATTATTGGAATTTTGATATTTCATTTAATGTGCCGAAAATTTAAATTAATTTATTTTAAATTGCAGTGCTTAAATAAGATGAATGCACATAATAACTACATTGAAATTTAAAGTTTTCAAACTTTTGATCTTTATGTATATTCCTTTAAGAAATTAATTTTCTAGTTTTAGCAAGGATTATTCTTTAGGCAATGGAACAAATAGCTCTGCAAAATGTTTTGTTCGAGCATAAAAGAGCCTTAGAGGTTTGCTTTTTTTTCTTTTGTAATACTGTTGTTATTAACAATTTTATATACTTTCATGTTTTTCCAGTTTATATTTGCAGTTTAATTACAATGAGATGACAACAAATGGTTTTGTTGGAGGAATGCTTACTGAATTTTGTTGTTGTCATATTGTCTTTCATTGAGTTGTACGTCCAATACTGTGAAACATTGATAGTATAGTGGAATGAAGTTAGTAGTTTATAGCATTTATCTCGTTATCTTAGAGTAATTACTCTAATATTCTATAGTAACTATAGACGTACTGTTGTTCCAGTTAGCGAACACACGAAAACTTATTTCTAATGAACATATGATGGCAGTGCTGACTGTTTCATTGATGTTAGCAGCTCAGAAAATGAAACAACCACATCTGTTCATTCTACCAGCCGTTCCACTTGTTATTGGTCTTTTCCATAATTTTGACCAGCAACGGGATATAACGCTGGATATCATAAAAGGTTACTGTATTTATATTTAGTGAATATTTTATTATATCGTTTAAAATGTCGTTTAGCTGTGTACCTCTGACACGAGTAAGTATTGCCATATTCTAGAAGTGTGCTAATGTCGCTGCTGTTCAAATGTTATTTTAATCTGTCTCTAATCAAATTATCCATGAATTAAATTATAATAAAATGATTTACGAATAGTTCATAAATGAAATAGCTAATAGCTTATAAGTTTTCTTCTATCAAACTAATATATCTTAAGATTCCAGTTCTCGTTTTATATTTCCTATACGCTATAATTTTCATTCTAAACTTTAAAAGGCTTTTTGTCTTTTTAGGTCGCTGGACAGAGAAGTTAGTACAAAAAAAATGTTTGTATAAATTTGTATATATGTTTGTATAAATCAAGTCAATTTAAAAACTTTCAGAGAAAGCGCAAGAGTTGTGCCGAGAAAATCGCCATTTATTTGAACCCATTGGTGGTCCCATAACATTGGATGAGCTCGACAGACGTATTAATTACACAAAATATAACAATGAAAAAGAATTTAATGAAGCCAATTGATCTGTTCAGAAAAAAAAATTCAGAAATGATTATAGAATTTGATCTTTACCAGTTTGTAAGCTCTTCGAATTTGTCAAATTTTGCTTTCGGAATAAAGATTTAATTTGTTAGCAGTTGAATAAGTTACATATCTTTTCTCTCTTTCTTTCCCTATTTGATTCTTCAGATTTCAGCCTCCTTTTCTGATGGTTTTCCTTCTAATTCTTGCTGCTCATTTTCTTTCGATGTTGGAAACATATTTTTCTGGAACACATTTTCATCACATTGCGACGAGCTGCAATAAAAGAAATTGTAATTAACTTCGAGAACAAATGTTTTCCTATCAGGAAAACAAATATAAACATTCCTTTTTATGGAGGGACGACAATTAGAAAGATGTTTGAAAATTACTACTAGAAATTTGAAGAATCAATATTTTTTTAATATAGAGTGGTATTGATTTAAAGAATGTCATTAGAGCTATTTTCGATGCTTTTTCCAAGTTCATTTTAGATTATTTGTTTTTGAATTCGATGGCGGGTATCGTCTTTGCATGTATTGTTAATACCACCAATTTATAAATATTTCAATTCCTGATATTTTTGCCACTTCGGTTTCTACCTACGGCTGGAGTGCCAAGTGTAGGATCCTGAAGTTTCTGCAAGAAGTGCGCATTCCAGTTGATCGATATTTAATCTTTCGATTTCTCCTGCGTCGAAGTATACCTCAATTTTTTTTTCTTGTTATATTTTTGAAAAATATTAGTGATGGTAGATAGGAACATCATTTGCACTCGTATAATTTCCTTTAAACTTAGAAGTATTTTTTCTCAGTTTTAAGAACTTCAATGTTAAATTGGTTAGGAAGTTGTTGGCTTACTTTCTTTGGACAGTTTGGTTCACTTCCTGTGTCGTGATAAATCTCCAAATAGTGATGACAGAGTGCTTGTTCTGCTGTTATTCGTTTCCAAGGTGCTATTATCAGTAGCTGAAAATGTTGCAAAATTGATTAAGTAGAGATAAGGAGAGAAAGGATTGAACTTCACTACTCATTTCAGCAGGCCTATATACCTTTTTCAGCAGATCCACTGCTTGAGAGTTTGCCTTTGGTATAATTGTACTCCATGGAAGCGGATCTTTTGGTCCACAACTTTCAATCCAACTGAAAAATGGATTTGTGTCAAAAATTATCATTGAAATTCTAAAATGAAAAATACCTTCTTATCTCAAAA